TGGGAGCTTGCAACACTTCCTCCCCATTACGACGAGGTACTGAAGCTTTTTGTCTTGTATGGACATTATTTTTGTCACATGAAGAATATAAATACGATTGATAGGCGGGCTCTCGCTTATATTACTTCATCTGGAATAAAACCACAGACTACAGATAAACAAATACTGTAAATAATATTTATCTAAACACAAATGGTTCTAAATTAGATTTTTTTAAGATCAAGGGAGGTAACAATAGTGTTTTTGAATTAAGAATTCAATTCTAAGGGAGGTAACCCTCAACCAAAATTATAATCCCCATGTGCATCAAAACGAGTTTAGTAACCTACCTTCACAAAACAGTGGGTCGTTCTCTGGAACTTACATTCGCTGATTGGCGATATTACTCTATGACCAGTTTTTATTGTATTGTAGGTTCTGTGTTTGGGAATGGTCATTACTTTACTTTCGATGACCTTCAATATACCTTTAATGGTTGTGGTGAATACATACTGCTGAACTTACTAAATAGTTCCTCCAACCAGCTACTGTTTCAGTTACAAGGACGAACGACACCGGTTCACAAGATTAATAACAAAGCCATTGTATTGTCAGGAATTGCTGCCAAAGATTTCCAGTCCAACAGTTCCTTTCAAATCGGGCGATCTTCAAATGAATCTGGTAAGATGATTGCTTTTTACTAAATTTATAATATTTGTCATAAATACTGGCTTCGAGAGCTATTTTTTTTAAATTCTTTTGGCACTTGTCTATTTCAGATCTGGTGATGTATGGTAATGCTGTTGATTATTCTAGACATTTTCAGGATGGATTTACGTATGGAGATGCATCCTTTTATACATCGTGTTTGGATGGAATAATTACTGCTGTCTTTCCTATAGGTAATAACAAAAGTTGCTTGATTTCGCAAGAAATTTCGAAACATGAAACACGATTTGTATGAAAAGAATTTGTCCCTAATGGTAATATTCATAATGGAGGAAGGCCAATACAAATGTGAAATTAGATATTCAGAAAGTGAAATTAACGCAAGTATATTTCTACCAATTGATCTGGTTGTGGCACGATTTTGAATTATATAGAAATGGCGAGCAGAACATACTCTTTTCGAAACACCTGATGGCAATTCTCTTGGAAGAAGTCTATACAACTACCATGCAACTGTAACTCTCGTTTTTGCCATACTTTGGACGAGATTTTTGGTTGAAAGAATTACAATATGAAAGGAAATATTAGTGGCAATACTTGCCAATGGGATTTAATGGGTTAAACACAATATGAACTGCTACTTTTTCAGCCTGATCTCAGCTATCATACCACTTTGTAAAATGAATATTGGAAGGGAAATTTTCAGTTTGTCAGGCCGCTATCAGCATAGTCCTATACAAATGTCACCGATGACTGTACAAAATTTGTACTATACGGCAAAATATTAATAACTCATTGCCGACCTAAACATTATATTTATTTTGTATGTGTAGGTATATCATTAACAATAAGAAACAATCAGGACAGATTTGAACTTACAGTGTCTATTCCAAATGGTTTTCAACATGAGTCGGCATACAAAACTACTGGTTTACTAGGAACTCTGAACGGAAGTCCAGATGACGACCTCACATCTTTAACCAACGAGATTTTGCTACCAACGTCAACTGGAAGAACGTTACATTATGAGTTTGGGGAAAGTTGTGAGTTTTTCTTATATCAATATTTGATGAATAAGAGCAAAGCATATTATGAGAAACTATGTAAAATACCAAGTCACCATTATCTAGACTTGGAAAGGATTATCAGTGGATGAAATTAATCCAAGAGTAGAATCATCTCCTTTCCCGAAATCTTTCTGACTTTTTTTACGATTTACTGTGATCATTTTATTAGAATTTAAGCTGGGTTTCCTTTTTTAGTGTCAAATTAAGCAAGCAAACTATTTAACTAATTGATGTTTCTAATGAATTATCATTTATTCTTAATCATATCATTATGTTCTTATTGCATATAATTAAGAGTTTTAACCAATCATAAATGTCCATGTATGTGGAGTCTGGATAAACAAAAAAAAAGACTTTTTGACCTTTCTTGATAGGTCGCTCATTGCAATTCTGCTGGTAATTCTTTTGTTATATAGCTAATTATGAATTAATTATGGACTGGTATTTTTCCAAGTCAGAAAAAATTTCTACATCTATTCTTATGCGTATTAGCAATTTCATTTTCATAAATGAACACAAGGGAACTTATCTTTAAGATATTGTACGGTAACTAATTGGTAGGAACAACATGAAACAATTCCTCTCTTTTCAGGGAGAAGTGATGACTCAATGTCTATGTTTAAGAATGATGATCTACGACCAGCAGCCTTCTATCAAGATCCTGATTTCATTCCAATGTTCCTTGAAGATATCACCGACTTACATCGAGATGAAGTATCAGATATGTGTACACGTAACAAACAATGTATATTTGATTGGGTAGTAAGTAGGAATCGAATACATGCCATTGAGACGAAACAGTTCATAGAGAAGGAAATACAAATACGACATTATCAAGGTAAAGTCACTAGAATCATCTCTTTGCTCTCCGTGGTCCGTTTCAAATTGGGATACGGTTAATTAAAGAGACAGATTCACCATCAATTTGACCAATCATACTTTAGTCTCAGAAATGGGATTTTATTTTAGCTAAGCTACTCAAGTTTCACCGTAGAAAATTGAACCTCCAAATCAATGTATCTCCAGAAATATCTGCGTTTGAAAGTTAAAGTCTTCTTGAGACATATAGAAATAGAAAGTGAAATCCCTAGTTTGAAGTATTTTTGAAGGAGTTATGCGATATTAGTACTAATTTACATATTCAAGACCCAATTCAACCCTCGAAAATGGCGAATCTGTCTCTTTAGGGTTATTTAAACCTGACCCAATTCGAGGATTTTTGTGTGGATACATCTTCATGAAATCATTTCGTGATTTCTCTGATTTAGTTTGATTTTGTAATAATGGAAACTGGTCTGGATATGTTGGATTTGTCATAAAGTCTTGATAGCTGATTACAAATGTGTTAAGTAAACGGACTAAAATCGAACTGAAACTGTTGTCAATTCGTAGCTAATGATTGGCTCAGCTAAGAAATTCCCTTTTCTGAGACTAAGGTACGATTGGTCAAAGAATGGTATCTGTCCCTTTAAATACATGTATTACATTGGAATGTCATTCTGGAAATTAATACTTGTAGTCATTTATTGATTTTTATCCAATGCCACCGATAACAGAACCATTTATGTTCGAATTCTAGGTCATCATGTCCCACATATTACTGTTCAAGAGATTGCCAACGTTACGGTGGGTAGTGAAGTAACAGTTATAGCAAGAGCAGAATCACAGTACAAGTCCTATAACACGACCCTGTATCTCAATGGATCTCACAATACCTATAGTGAATGTGCATCATCTGTCCGCCTTGGATTCAAATATACTCCCCAGGATTTGGAGCCGGTTAAATTTGAGTAGGTATATATTAGTTATATTATTATAAACGTTGCTTAAGAAGTATATTATCTTGAGTTTATTAATCGTGTGCGGACCATACCTCGTGTATTTGCAGCCTTATAAACATCTTAATCCCCCCTCTCCCCTGTCACATTGTGTGGAGTTAAAGATATCTTGATATTTGCAAATAAAAAGTCCGTATGACCCCCTATGTTTCTTTGTTTAGGTTCGCTTCTGAAGATACTGGTGGAGGAATGTCTCAAGTGTATCCGGTGTTGGTCAATGTTTGTCCGAATTGCAGTGGACATGGTGTTTGTCAGTATCAATACGGCATGTCAAACTCTCAATATTTCATGGTTCATAGATGTCAGTGTGATGTTGGATTTAATGGTAGGCGGTTATTTCCATTTGCATACGTGATTCATTATTTAATTCTATATTCATTCGTGTCGCATGTCGAAGGGGCTGACCTGGTACAGGCTGTGCACGCGTTACAGTTAGATATATTTCTATTAGTTAATAAAGCAGGCTATTTTTCTGTACATGCTGCGTTGTTTTGTCACTGGAAACTTCCCAGCCTTTATCATCCAGTCCCTCTTTGTCTATGTACAGCTTCAACGAAAGATGGTCTGAATAGGTTGCTTAAAATCTTTGTAATTAACCGAGTCCACAGTGGCTATTGAATCTGTTTAGTTGTAAATCCACTTCCGCTTTGGTTATGGGGAAACATTATTCGAAAAAATTTAGTTTCTTCAAATTTTAATTGTTTGCTGTCTGGGCGTCGGAGACTATGTCCATGTCGGTGGGTGTCGGATTTTCATGAAGGCAACCTTTTATTTTTTCTATCGTATCTCCCTAGGAATTGATTGTGAAGCGGAGATAGACGGTTGTGTTAATAATCCTTGTATCAGTTCAAAATGTCATGATAATCCACCAGATGTACAATACATAACTAGTAGAGGCTATAGCTGTATAGATTGTCCACCTGGGTATAGTCAGATTGACGATAAATGTATAGGTAAGTGTTGAATTTTTACCAAAAAGGAATATACCTACCGAATGCAACATCAATTAACTTGCTGAAATCCGTGTCAGAGGTAATGGTATACTACCTCTGAAGATAACAAACAAATTGAATCCCTCTATAATGCAATTAATCCATTAAACTAAGTGATTCAGTAATTTTGAAAATACTTATAAGCGTTTTTCAATATTCTATTCTTTAGTCATAACACCCGGTAAGTCCATTGTCTCATGGGGACATTAAATTTTATATAAAAGTACATCTATAGACAAACACACTTGCCGAAAGTAGGCCTTTTTTTTCGTTAACCTTTTTGAGATGCCGCTTAAACATTGAACATGAAATCTCAAAATGATTTTCAAGTTTTTCATCTTCAAACACAATACCAATTTTTTACAAAGAGAATTTTGTCACGTGGATGGATAAATAAAGAGGTTACGTTTCAGATCTCAACTAAATAAAATATATTATTTTCAGATGAAAATGAATGCACGAGATATAAAGAATCTTGCCACCATGTTTGTACTAATATACCGGGATCATTTAAATGTTCTTGTCATAATGGTTATAGAATGACACACAGTGGACAATGTATAGGTAACGTTTACAATCTTAGTAAGGCCCTGATTCCCGACTTTGGTGTCGGCCTGTTATTAAGAGGATAGGTTCGCCATTTTTGGGGATTAATTTGAGTCTTGAATATACGTTATTACTATTAGTCTTCAGAAGAGCCAGAAATGTCCATAAATCCTTAAAAATACCTTTATACTTTATTTTGTCTTTTCTATATAATATACTTTAAAGAAAAGACGAGTCGTCTTTTTAACTTTCAAATGCAGATAATTCTGGACACACATGGGTTTGAAGGCTGAAATTTCGATGGTGAGCTGTGAACACTGGCTAACTTAGCTAGGCAAAGTAAAAAAGATGCGATTGGTTACCAGAAAAAATCACCTAAAGTACAAGCATATTTTGACTCGTTCGTGCTATTACAGCGGAACCTCTTTTATACATGCCTATTTCAATTTTTAGATATCGATGAGTGTCTTGACGGACGCAGTAACTGCCAACAAATATGTATTAATAGAGAGGGATTTTTTCAATGTAAATGTTACGATGGATATACTTATAATACAAATAATAATACTTGTATCAGAGGTATGTGTTACTGATTTTGTAATATTGGATTATTACACATTGATTTAAGCCTTCTAAAGGATATTAGTAAATAGTGAATCTATCGCATTCTCTGCAGTTTAATCAGATCTGCTATGTTGGACACTTTCATACTTGACGTAACACTGTAATCAGCACCAATAACCTACGATGATCTCTTTCGATTGATAGATTCAGTTTCCGTAAGTAAGTGAACCACGTCACAGTAAATTTGAGCGAGCATTGTCTTTATTAAAGCATCTTGGCAAGCAAAATATATATATTTTGATATAAAAAAAACATGTACTAAGGATCCGAAGTCCAGAGCCGAAATAAAAAATAACGGTTTGGCAATACATTGGTAGCAGCTAATGAACTGATGAACTATATTGCTTAATTTTAAGATTCACCGGAAGAAGAATGTTCAATTCTCGGATGTTCTCACTACTGCGATGAAAAAAGTTGTCTATGTCCTACTGGATACAAATTAGATGAGGATGGAAGAACTTGTAAAGGTATGATCTTTGTTCCAGTGGCTCAACAACCACAAGTTCACGGACCCGAACCCCTACTGGGACTCCAACCCCAGAGAAAACAGTTAAGGAAAGCATATGATTTCTCGGGGGAAAGGCCCCAACCCTCTTAAGTCCACGGACCCCCATTCACTTAGTTAAGCCATTGCTATGCTCATCGGATATAGCATTTTTCTATACGCACACATTATCAAGCTCGGAATTGAATTTTGATATGTGTTTTTTTTTTTTAACATTCTAAGGTTTTTCGCTTTTGATCACAGCATAACAGTCGTCAATGTTAGTTTTTGACTCAGCATCATTTGTGGTACCGTGACCACGATATTTCAAAAATTCATTATTATTACCCATTTTTTACAGATGTAGACGAATGTCAAAGCTTCCACAAATGTATTCAACACTGTCGAAATACAAATGGAAGCTATGATTGTTCATGTCATTATGGTTATAAACTGTTGAAAGATCAACGAACTTGTGAAGGTAAGTGAAGTTTTATCCTTTAATTCTTCGACTGAAACTTTGTGAAGGGATAAGCTAACATAATAAAACTGTAAAATGCACACGTTTCTAATATTCAATGGGTGGTGATAATCCTGACCACAGACACCGTCACAATGTACAGCATGGACTACTCTCTAAATAAAGAGTGCACTTAGTGGAATAGGAAATAAGAAATATGAGTGGAATACGAAATATGACGGCTATCTGCTTTGTTTAGACAAGTAGGATATGTTGGACATGCCGGACCAATTAATCCGCTAATCTAGCACCTAGTTGTCTTGCAGTTGTATGGACTAATTGTTGGTAACTTTTTGAATTACATCCAAATATTTCCAAATTTATTGCAATTTGTTTATTCTAGTTTGTGATGATATGCACTGGGGAATTAATTGTGAACGGGAATGCTCTGAATGTTCAATAAATTCAGAAAAGTGTTCTTCAAAAGGCTGTATTTGTAAACCTGGATGGAGTGGTGTAACCTGTGAAGATGATATTAATGAATGTGCTGATACGTTTCTATGTAGCGACTTGCATCAGCGATGTATTAATATTGATGGTGGTTATTTGTGTTCCTGTGCAGATGGTTACGAACTTGTTAACAGCAAATGTCAAAGTGAGTTTTGGTTATACTTATTAGCTTTTGGACTAATGAGTAGCTTAGTATATATTGAATCACAATATCGAATATCAGTAGCCAGACTTGATTGTTCGGAGGGGCCAGTAATATATTCTGAGGGGCCATTAATATATTCCGGGGGACAATGGTGAATGGTGTTCTTTTGCATTAATGGAATTGTTGGTTGTCAGAATCTTTTGTTGGTCGGTTGTGAGAAGACAATCCCCCCCCCCCCTGCTTCCCTGCTTCCCTTCTTCTCCCCTTCGAAGCCCAAATTAATGCATGTCTTATCTCCCTAGATATTGATGAATGTGCGATCGGCTTACATAACTGTACTGGACCTCACCATACCTGTGTTGATACCTACGGCGGATGTTTTTGTGGCTGCATAGATGGTTATGAAATGGATGATGGTTTGTGCAAAGGTCAGTTCTGTACAGATCCCACAACCGTAGTCTAGGGCTTGTAAACGACCAATTATTGTGGCGATCCTCTTGTGAGGTGAAAACCAGAACAATCAGAAATTAAGAGCAAATCACAACTTCTTCTCTGTTTCTCATATTCTATAATGGATTGTAATCACTGGGTGATGATCGTGAACATTTTTTGATTATCTTACTTGTTACTTCTGATCGCGCTAATGGATACCTTAATGTTCCCTCGAAATTTGGAAATTGTGTAAGTATGTTTCTTGGTTTAACTATAATTTAATGTCTTACGTCTTTCAGATATAAACGAATGTGAGTTGAACAGAGACCATTGTGAACACAAATGTGAAAATGTAGATGGATGGTACAACTGCTTGTGTTTTAGTGGTTATATTCTAAGTTCGGATAGACAATCATGTTCTCTTGGTAAGAAATGTTAATGTTGGTTTTCTTTATTTAAATGGTGAACACTTACAGCTTCAGATGCATGGAAAGAAAAGCTCTGCTGTGCAGATGGGAAACATAAGGCATGGGTTGTTCTTGAAATAACGTCAAGGAACTACAATGCAATACTCATATGACAGAATGTGGACTTTAAGTTGTTGGCTTGTTCCTAGTAAAACATTGTTTCAGAAAGAGATGTTTGTGGTAGCTCAAGAGATAAATGTATATCACCAGCTGTGTGTACCTTAGCTAATGGAACCACGAGTTGTGAATGCCCAAGGAAATACATCTTAGATGAAAGTACCAACACATCATGCTTAAGTAAGCCTTTTGAAACATTACATTACAAGGTCGTTACGCAATCCTAGTTGAAATGAGGAAAAGGGGATCTGGATGGATTTAAAATATATAATTGAAAAAACCCAACTTTTGTCGGTATTTCAAAATCAAGGCAATATGCTCTATATACCTCCACCACGCTACGGTTTTGCGTTGGATAGTCTGCCCCTGATAATGATGTACATCGGTGAACAATAACTGAAGGCCCCGTGTTTCACAGATTGTACCAGTTACTCGACAATTAATAATTTCGCTTTTGCACAATGCATTGTGCTGCCATCCTCCATTGCTTGATAATGCATTTTTGTATCATTTACTGAATTTTCTCTTTCTTTCTTTTGAATAGAATTGAATCTTTGTTCACACGCCAGCTGTAGTTTTGATTGTAAAGTTGAAGGTACGGGAGTTTTTAACATAGCCAAGTGTTTGTGCCCTAAAGGATTCAGATTGGATATCGACATGAGGTCTTGTAAAGGTATAGTTCTAATTCTCTTTATAATTATAGTATATATAATTAGCAATAAGTAAATTGATTTTCATTTTGTATTAATCTGTTTGTATTAATATTTGATATGAGGGGCAGAATACATTATTTTAATGTTGGAAACAGTCCCATAGCCACCCCCCCTTAACAAATTCTGACAACAGACCAATTCCACTACTGCAACTAAATACCATACGACATTTCCTACGGATATGTTATTTGCCCCCAAAACAATCAAATCTGGCCACGGACTTCATGAGAAAATTTTAGCGCTATGTAACAGCCCCTTGTATATAAACAATATTATACAATCTTGTATCATGATAATTATTATCATGATAAAAGATTGACGCATTACACAAAATTGTATTTCTACGATTTCCAGAATGTGATCAGTTCCATTGGGGAGAAGATTGTAAGAATCTATGTAACTGTGGAGAAGGTACATCAGAATGTGACCCACTTGAAGGATGTCGTTGTTTACCAGGATGGTATGGTGAAACCTGCTCACAGGACCTTGATGATTGTAGCAGTACTCCATGTCCCAGTAACTTAGCTTGCTACAACCAGAAAGGTCCTTCTTACAGTTGTGGATGCGACTCCGGCTACAAGTGGAACACAACTCTGAAGATTTGTCAAGATGTTGACGAATGTTCAAGAGAAGATCATGGCTGTGAACACACCTGTGTAAACCAGAACGGAACATATGCTTGTGAATGTGATGTAGGCTTCCTTAAAGACGGATTTTCTTGTTCAAGTAGGTAGATTTTATGTTCAAACTGAGAATCACAGAAACCCGTGCAATTATTCACAGTATGCTATGTAATACTTTCAAACTTTCACCCTCGTTTTTCTCGTCACTAGCCCAAAGTGCTGGAATAGCTCATTCGGTAGCGACTATCGTCTGCTATGTGATTAGGTGCCGAAGGTAAGAACAATTCTGATGCCTGTGCCTGTGTTTCCGAGAGTTGGCCCGGTGTCGGCTTTCAACCCCTTATACCAAAGTGCCGAGATATTATGCAAGAAACATTTTCATTTTCTTGTTATTGGAGTATTTTGACGCAACCTCTCTTATCTTTTCCAGATATTGACGAATGTTTGGTAGAAGATGATAATGGTTGTGAACATATTTGTTTTGATACCCAAGGAAGTTATTTTTGTGGTTGCCATGATGGTTATGAACTGGAACTCGACATCAAATCATGTAAACAATGTAAGAACAATAACTAACTTATATTGATGCATTTAAAAAATATTTAGTTTGATGACACAGTGACTTTTAAAGCCTTAGCACCAGATGGTGACACCCTATACAACAGTTTGAGATATAAATACATGTCTATGCTTATATGTTTTACCAACTTGTATTGCTATCCGGATAACTTTAGGATAAGCATTTGCTATCCGGTTATCCTACAATACGTACTGTCATACGTAGTGTAATATAATTATGTATCTTGTAGTGCCAGTGGCTGTAATGTTTGTCCAGGTAGCAGTAAATGACACATTTGATGATAAATATATTGATGAAACATCAGATGAATATAAAGTAATGAGATTAAAAGCAGAACAAGCGGTAAGTACAGTAATTACAAATATCACATAAAAACGATAATCATTTGATTTTTAAGTGTTATATAGGCATGGCTCGCATGTTAATTTAATTTAATTGTTTTGTAAGGGAATTCTTACAATGTTTTTAGAAGTCAACAGGCAATGTTTTTTATATTTTACGCACTTATGGCCATTAACGTTGGTGTATGGGTGTAACTGCACTGACGCCACTTGAAAATGACCATTATTGACCTTTGTGTGCGGTCCAAAACCCCAGACCAAAACTTTTAATTCACCGCCTTGGCACTGCAAATCCAAAAATCCCGTCAATTTTCCTTTCAAAAAATCTTTCTATATAGATTATATCTTACTTTCAGCTTCTCGCAGAGCTTAATGATCCAAATATCGTTAGTATTGATGTCATAAGAATAAGGTAGGTGAATCTTTCATGTCACTCATTAAGATTGCCCTAAAGTTTAGTTTTCAGATCTGACATGGAGAAAAATGTTCATAAACCTCTAGTTTTCGATATTTGGAAATCGAAAGAATGGGCTAAACCCATCGTCATTACAAATTGACACTAATTGTACACTGTATAGAGTAACTTTAAATGTTAGTCGAGTCAACCGATGAAAAGATGGATGTGAAATTAAATATCATTTCACTTTTAGAAATGGAAGTCTTGTTATTGAATTCAAAGTGCGATATTCAACTGGAAGTAAATTACCTACACAAGATTGTAAGAACGATTCGACCTGTTTAACTCTAGCCAATAGTCTACAGAATCTTAATGCTGACGGTTGTTTAAAACTTAACGAATCCTGTACCCCAGTTACCACGAATGTAAAAGTTGCCTTTCAAACACCAGGTATGTGTTATATAAGGTTTCAAAATTTGGATGGGATTTGCGGTTTTGAGTATTGGCTTTCCGAGTCTTGTTAAACAAACAACCTAGGAAGCTATTAATACATTTACATTGTTGGCTTCGAAAACAAAATTGAATATCTTCATAATCTCGCATATACAAAATATATATCCAGTAGTGTTTCTATGAAACATTATTTAAGGTGGCCGAGCAGAGACCACCAAATTTTCCAGGGTGGAGGGGCACAACCTATGTAAATTGATAAACATTTTGAAAGTGGAGCTTGGCGCATATAAGGGAATGGAGAACTGGTCTTTGGAAGAATTGATCTTACTAGATTAGGTGAACTGAACTCATCAGGCATGTATGCAGAAAACTTCCATTGTGTTTATCACTTTGTTTTGTCATTTACGATCTCTTGCAGAAACTTATCAAGACAGTGTAACCTGTATATTGTGTAATGGTACATGTAGTTTAGGTGATAATAACGAACCTGTTTGCAAGTAAGTTAAAAATATTTTGGGCTCCGTATACCCAAGCATATTGCAGCCAGCACATCTTCAAAATGTACTAGCTTGATGTGTTTTGTTACTCAAAAGCTTGGAAACAAATATTGATAATGAACGGACAGAATGGCCTTGGCAAGAATAAAATCATATATACGGGAATTACATGATGGATGGGAAATCGGAATAGGCCAAATTCAAGCTAGTACCCTGGATACAAGTACACAGGCATGAAAACCTTATCGTATTCCTTAACATACAATACCATATAACAAAGGTGGATTTATATTTCTGACGCCGTCAACCACAGTAATACGCTTGCATTCGCTCATGGTCGGTGGTCGGCGTTTCAAACATTCACAAGAAGCCATTAAACAACCCCAAAAATAAATATTGCTCAGTAGAATTGTAGAGTGATATAGAAATATTAAAACAGAACTTGCATCATGTTAGTACTCACAGTTTCGCGTAATGCGATCTTCAGACAACTGATCTGTTTTCAGACTTCGTCCCTACTGAAGTTGGACAAGTAGAACTTTTTCTCATGTCTACATTTCGAGGCAAGTTCAGAATGTTTGTTTAAAGAAGTGTCATTCTTTCAGTTAAACACAGCTTACATCATTTTGTTTCAAAGTTTGAAAATAGGTCCGTTGTAAGAAGATCGTCCAAGTTCTGTTTTATTATTTCTATTCCTTAACATAAAAGTAAACAGTTCCGTTTTTTTCAGTGCACCATCTACTACTGGTAAGTAGTTTGTTATATTATGATTTAGTTGTTATATTGAAGATATAATATATTCTATTTGATGAAAGACAAGAACATCAATTGAAAGAGCTAAGTTATCGTTTTTTCTGGTGAATTTTCTGATAACCCAGATCGCGCTGCTTAGTTGTGGTATGTTTCTAAGAAGGTGATCTATGGATTTATTCCTTTCAGATAGTGTGGATGATGCAACAGGCTTGTCAACAACAGTTCCCAGACCAACCCACTTGCTCAACGACATTACACTAGACGCCGCTACCAATGTGTATGATTCAACTATTACTGAGTTCACTGCGGTAACCACCGATGACATAGCATTTACAGAATCTCCTTCTACACAATTTGAAAATGTTACTTTGTCAGAATATACAACACAGAGAGATCCAACATTAGTACAGGACACCACATTCTATACCGATTTAACGCCGATTTCTTTAGAAGAAGGTTCAACGATAGATACAACAGAGGAATATTCTACAGTATCTGACGAAACGTTCTCAATTGATGATGACAAAGTAACCTCGCATACACAAACCGAAATGGTTATTACCCCAAGTTCAATATTAAGTGACGAATCTACCATATTCGGTTTAACAGATTTTGATGATACCATGGCTTCAACAGATGCTAATGACACTACTAAAATTATAACAGGTACTACAAATTTTGATGATACTACAGTAACTACACCAGTAGGTTCTACAGATATTGATATTACAGTAACTACACCAGTAGGTTCTACAGATCTTGATGATACTACAGTAACTATAGTAGGTTCTACAGATCTAGATGTTCGTATAGTAACTACACCAGTGGGTTCTACAGACATTGATGGTACTACAGTAACTACACCAGTAGGTTCTACAGATCTAGATGATACTACAGTAACTACACCAGTAGGTTCTACAGATATTGATATTACAGTAACTACACCAGTAGGTTCTACAGATCTTGATGATACTACAGTAACTATAGTAGGTTCTACAGATCTAGATGTTCGTATAGTAACTACACCAGTAGGTTCTACAGACATTGATGGTACTACAGTAACTACACCAGTAGGTTCTACAGATCTAGATGATACTACAGTAACTACACCAGTAGGTTCTACAGATCTTGATGATACTACAGTAACTACACCAGTAGGTTCTACAGACCTTGATGATACTACAGTAACTACACCAGTAGGTTCTACAGATCTAGATGTCCCTACAGTAACTACACCAGTAGGTTCTACAGATCTTGATGATACTACAGTTACTGCACCAGTAGGTTCTACATATATTGATGATACTACAGTAACTACACCAGTAGGTTCTACAGATATTGATATTACAGTCATTACACCAGTAGGTTCTACAGATCTTGATGATACTACAGTAACTATAGTAGGTTCTACAGATCTAGATGTTCGTATAGTAACTACACCAGTAGGTTCTACAGACATTGATGGTACTACAGTAACTACACCAGTAGGTTCTACAGATCTAGATGATACTACAGTAACTACACCAGTAGGTTCTACAGATCTTGATGATACTACAGTAACTACACCAGTAGGTTCTACAGACCTTGATGATACTACAGTAACTACACCAGTAGGTTCTACAGATCTAGATGTCCCTACAGTAACTACACCAGTAGGTTCTACAGACCTTGATGATACTACAGTAACTACACCAGTAGGTTCTACAGATCTTGATGATACTACAGTAACTACACCGGTAGGTTCTACAGATCTGGATGTCCCTTCAGTAACTACACCAGTAGGTTCTACAGATCTAGATGATACAAAAGTAACTACACCAGCAGGTTCTACAGATCTAGATGTCCCTACAGTAACTACACCATTAGCTTCTACAGATCATGATGATACGACAGTAACTACACCAGTAGGTTCTACAGATCTAGATGATACTACAGTAACTACACCAGCAGGTTCTACAGATCTAGATGTCCCTACAGTTACTACACCAATTGGTTCTACAGATCTTGGTGATACTACAGTAACTACATCAGCAGGTTCTACAGATCTAGATCATACTACAGTAACTACACCAGTAGGTTCTACAGATCTAGATGATACTACAGTAACTACACCAGTAGGTTCTACAGATCTAGGTGTTCCTACAGTAACTACACCAGTAGGATCTACAGATCTTGATGATACTACAGTTACTTCACCAATAGGTTCTACAGATCTTGATAATACTACAGTTACTGCACCAGTAGGTTCTACAGATCTTGATGATACTACAGTTACTGCACCAGTAGGTTCTACATATATTGATGATACTACAGTAACTACACCAGTAGGTTCTACAGATACTGATAATACTACAGTAACTACACCAGTAGGTTCTACAGATCTAGATGACACTACAGAAACTACACCAGTAGGTTCTACAGATCTTGATGTCCCTTCAGTAACTACACCAGTAGGTTCTACAGATCTTGATGTCCCTTCAGTAACTACACCAGTAGGTTCTACAGATCTAGATGATACTACAGTAACTACACCAGCAGGTTCTACAGATCTAGAT